TAAGAATACGACTTGCATTCGTTTTTGTGATCCAGAGCGCTGGATGTTCCAATTTTTCCTGTGTCTTTTCCTTGGCACCCTCGACTGGACACTTTCCCTGCTGTCGACCTGATGGGATTTTCAGAGTGATACCGTCAATTAGCCCCCTTATTTCTCCTTTCACAGAATGTTCGATACATAGCGGAGTCTTTTGGCGCGACATGGCGCAATCACAGCCGTTCGGTCAGCCGGCGTTCAGTACTCCATCTGGTAGGCACGGTTCCGGACTCTCTTCAGTGTCTTCAGCGCAAACGGCGGGCAAGGATGTAGTAAATCAGGTATTTAGAACTCGCGTGCGCTCAATCTGCGGCCATAAGAAAGACAGTCGTGCTATTCTTTTTTTAGTGTTGCCAATTGTGGCTATTATCCTAGCTTGTTTCCGTGGACGGTACCGGGGGACTGGGGGAAAAAATGTGCCGCGAAGGCTGGCAACTGGACCGCCACAGAAAGAGGATGACAGGGAACTTTCGGATATTCTCGACATGTGCTTGGAGATGGAAGAGGAGAGGAGCTTCTTGCCACCCGCAGCATCCCACGTAGCACAGACCGGATTCGCAGAAAGACAAGGCATGCCTGTCAGACCCCAGTATGAGCAGAGCCTGCAAGCAGCCCAAGCAGCTAGGCCTTTGCTCGACGGATCCATTTTTCAACCCCACCTCCCATACAGTCAACTCCGCCTGAGCACTGAGGCGGGGATTGCACAGGGCCAACAGGGATGGCTTGGTGCTTCCACGGAGGTGTTTAGTGGGCTATATATGGGAAATCCTCAAATAGATTCGCCGGGCATATCTTCTTTCCCACCCGCTGATAATAATTCATATCTCAGCGGGCTTGGCAACTCTGCAGTCCCCTTATCGGGAGGCGCAGTGCCATATTGGGGCCTTGGGGGGCCGTTGGCTCCAAAAGCGCCTTGGGCGCCTTCTTTTGTAAGTCAAGGCGAGTCGACCAATACGCTTAATCCAGCACTTGCTAGTGGACCGCCGTGTTCATTAGTTCCTGAAGGTCTCACGCTGAACCAGCCCCGTCCTCGTCCAATCCGTCCTCTTCTGCCAGCCCCTTCGTCCTCCTCCTCCACCAATGAGACGCCTCAGGAAGGTACTACGGCACCAAAGAAACCTCCGAAAAGGCGTTCTGCCTCAATTCTAAGCCAGCTGGCAGTTCCCGGAAAGAAGCGGAAGGGACAGCGCTTTTTGAATAAACAACTTTACGGTGGCGTTACACCTGAGGGTCCCGTTGAGTTCGTAGTTTTCGCCCCACCTGAAACACAGACGAGTGCAACCGAAAGCAGTGTGATTCAGGCTTCCGCTGGCTTGTCGGGCGAAGCAAGCTGGTCAAGCAAGGAGACATCCTCGGGCGAATCAGAAGAAACTGCTGCGCCAAGTACGGCGCAAACTACAGACGCTCCTTGTAGCGATTCACAGTCTGAGCTTACAGAATCCGACCCCGTCTCCGAGTCTTTCAGCGCTTTGCATCCCTTTTACAAGCTACCGGTGTTGGAGGCTAATGCTATCGTGAGGAAATTTTGCGCGGTGAACGCGTTTGGACACACCATCTTGCTCGTTCATCCTTCATCGGCCTTGAGGTTCATGCAGACCTCTTTCGCAAAACAGCGCATTAATGAAAGGGAAGCTAACGGGATTATTATCGAGTCTCAACGTATTGTGAATCACTTGTTTAATTTCCATAGATCAGCTGTCCCGTGGCGGAGCGCTTCCAAAGCTGTTTTGACTCTAGGACTTCGCTACCTGATGCTGGACTCACTACTCTGTGCAATTGATCTTTTGGGGCCGGCGATGGATGCGCCGCAGTGGTGGACGAAGCTCGTCAAATCGATTCCAACAAAAATCGCTATTAAGGATTTACGATTGCAGCTTAACCGCAGCAAACACTACGCACTACTTGCAGAACGGCTCAGCGCTGCTTCAGAAGCGATAAAGAGAGGCCTAAGACCTGGAGCAAGGGAGACAGTTGCTTTGAAACGGGACCTCTTTTGCACGGAATTGTCACTTCCACTGTTTAAGAAGCCCCAGTGGGACATATGGCGCTATTTTCACAAGCTCTCCTGCGGAGGTGCACCAGAAAACTTTTGCGGCTGAGCAACGCCTTTTACTCCACATTTCTTGGGACAGTCACGACAGCTCGGGTTCAACTGGGCGACCCCGGAACCCATGCACAGTCGCAACAATACTGCAGTGGTAGAAGGATTTGTACTCTCGCCCCGAGTGGTAGCCTGAGTAATTAGTAAGAAGTAAGGAGCCTGCATGACATCATCTTTCGTTCTTGAGGATTGGGTGGGCATATTTAGAGATACTTAAAGTTGTGCAAAGTTGTGCGTGGCCTCGCTGATCAGGGTACAGCAAAGGCGCCACATGCACGTTGTGTTTCTTAAGCTCCGTATGTTTTGTTATTTCCGGGGCGCACGAAGTTTTTTAGCACTTTTGACAGAGTAAACGCATTGTAACAGACGTCTGTCTACGTATATGGCCCCTACTTAGGCTTTTGTTCACTAGTTTTGCATGCATTTGCAGCAGGCCTGACATTCCGATCACATTGGCTGTTGATGTACTTGCTCATGTTGCATGTTTCTTCAATTTAAGGTGTCAGTGCCACCTCGGTCGCATTGCCGTTTACCTGTAAGTGAGCTCTCTTAAGCACATTCGAACGGGTAAATCCGGTGCAACGGACAATTTGTAGGGTGCAGTTCCAGAAACTATGCCATTGATCCTCGGGTGAGACGAACATGGGTCCATTGATTAGTGTGATTATTCATGTGTAGTGATTGCTTTCAGGTGCGCTTTAGACAAAAAATCTTTGGCAAAAAATTTTTTCCACATGGACTGGAAATCTTTGAACTTTTCAAAATCATACCACTACTGCCACGAGCTAGTTGGCCACTTGACTTGGGCGAAGGTAGCTGTAGTAGTTGAAGTGCTTTTGCTTGTTTTATATGCCCCCGTGGTAAACTAGGTGAAAGAATTGCGGAGAAGTCACTCGCCTGCGGCTCCCTAGTGAGCCACTTCCTTATCCCACGATATAGTCGACTTAAAAACTGTGCTGCCATTTCCAAGGCAGGAAGGACTCACATCAGTGGCGTGTGTATGGTTGCTTGCTGCGGACTATTTTGCCCGCGCTGCAGCCCCTTTCCGTCTTCAAGATAACCACAGGCAGTGCCAGGAACGGAACATGTTTCTTGGCAATATTCGACGTCGACTCAACTGGGAGAATTCCAAACATATTGTGGCCTTATCACGCATAAAGATATATCTGCCAGTGCGCATGAGCTGAAAGCGCGGTCACAGCCACGTGGGCTGCCCGCAGGGGCAAGTCACGCTAAACAGTGCATTACCACAGTTCAAACAATCTCCGTTACCAAACGGGTGAAACAATTCATCTCGCTCAATGATATCTAAGGCCTCTGTATCGCGCAGCTCGCAACTGCATACAGATAGGTCGGGCCGGGTCTTGATAAGCGAGTCACTGCGACGAACTTGAGGCAAAGGTAATGCGCCTTCAAAGCGGGAGCATGAAGACGCCTGAGGTGCGAAGGAATTTCAGAGCCATTCGCTGGCGCACAACGGAAGGCGCAGTTTCCCCGTAGCAACCAGCGCATCATGCTGAAGAATGCAGCACAAATGCAGGGTAACGGTCTGTAACTGGACAGTAGTTGTCGAGGGACGACTTATGATACCTTCCGGCTGCGCAAACCGTGAAGAAAGATTTAACTGTTCAGGCCCGTTCCGCAGTATATAATGTAGACGCATGACTGTGGCCGATACACAATTTGCCAGAACTTTAACTTACCGGAGCGGGTGGTGGAAACGTTTTTTGGTAGCTGTGGAAAAAGCCCGGATTCAAAGAAACTGTGCACCGCAGAGAGGCACATGTGTTGCGAACGCTCCAAAAAGTGGTACCCATGGATTTTTGAGGTTAACCCTTAAAAAGTAGTGCTGGGCTTCTTTGGTCTTTTGCTATTATGCTTCGCTGTCACTTCTAAGTAGGACCGTGAGCGTCAGCGAGAATTTAGGTACACTGCACGATGCCCGGAAATGTTGCTATTCTGTTCTACCTAAACTTGCTTTCCAAACGGTTGTGCTACAGTTGACTCAGCACTAAACTCATGTCGGAAATTTACAGGCTCTTAAAGTCTATGGTATAAAGCTGTATACAACCGCGTTAAGATCACGAAGAGGGAGGACACAGCAGTAGTCTTCATGTGCTTCAATTTCCTGTAGGCGATTCTGGTAGCCGAAGAGTTTTTAGTAGTAACTAGAAGGCTAAACTCGTCTGTGCATTTTGTCCTCCATCACCACATCATGTATTATTCTGACAAACAATTTTTTTTCTTCCTTGGCTCTCAGGACTAAGAAAGTTGCAAGATAAAGTGGCCGCTTGCACTGGTTTTCAAGCGGAACCCGCAAGCGGCATTTTGTGTCTGTGCTATCATCATACAGGAGGCTGTGCGTCTAAGCGATAGGCTCATTCGCCTGTTCGCAGTGGTAAGAACCTTGCAAATCCCTCTCGTCTAGCAAATAAACAATTTAATGTGAGATCAAGAGCGTACAGATCTGCTCCTGCTTCAAAGAATCGGTACTTTACAGTGAATCCCTTCTTCTGTTGTAGCGGCACTAATTAAGGTCAGACTGCAGAAGATGAGTGGTGGCTTTAATCGAATACTGCGAAATCTGCCTGTATGAAATTCATAGGGGAGACGACAACTAAATAAAAGTTGTTACGCTTCTCAATTACCCTATACCCCTCTTGGCCACATTGCGACTGAACAAATTTTCACAGGGCCTGGACAATGGCTCCCTATCACTGCCTTGAGCAATAAATACTCCATATAATACGCTGCAGACTTGCGCTAGGATATTGTGCGGAAGGTCCAACCTGCCAAGAAGCAATTTCACACCGTATCTTTTATTGCTACACAATCATCGAGGCTCTTGGGAAACCACACATGCTCATCCATAAACACGATTATATCTCGACCAAGTTTGTCATTAATAGTGACTTGAAACTTTTATGTCACAACGTTTAAGCCAAATTCTATGTTGCTTCCGTCTCACAGTCCTCTGAACATTCGAGTTGCTCTCCCGTCCCTGTTGTTTGCAGCCGTCCTTACTTTTTGCACAATTTGTCGCACATCTATCATCTTTGACTATAATGGCTGCAGATAATGCCACAGTATTGGCATTTGTCACTGCATCAATCGGAAGATGACAAGTTGGCGCTCCTGCCCCCTAGAGTCACTCCGGATTTATCTTCCCAACCAAAAGCAACACAAGCGTAGCATGTCTTGATATGTTTTGCTGCATCAGTTTGGAGAACTTGACTCAATTTTGAGTTTACGTCGCCCGGCGTGTAGAGGGATTTCCCCTCACTAGGTGTACGGGTGGTCTGCAATGCACGTCACTGGATGGTTAAGGAGTCGGCTCTCAGAAATCTTACGCATAAATAATAGGCGATAGTTACTAAAAATCTATGCTAGCATTGTAGAAAGTCTAGGCTCTGGAGGACAACCAGAAAAAACATTGTGGCCCGTACTGGGAGTGTCGGCAACAGAGCGCAGTGCGCAGCAGCCCACGCAGTAAGAAACGCCCCCCCAAATTTCCACCCCATAGGTTTACTCCCCTGATTTATTTCAGTAATTTGTTAGGAATCAAAAGTCCAGGAAAGGTTAAGCAGTGGAGAAGAAATGGTAATGAACAACGTGACGCCACGCAGTGCTGCTGGATGCACTGAGCATCACACATTCCTTGCCTGCCCCGCCCCATCCAGTATGCTGATGCTTGTGGCAGCCTTCTGCTGCAATATAGTCTATCTTAATGACCGTGATATCACATTCTAAAGAGACATTCACTATTTCAACAATTGTGGACGCATAGCCAAGATGATGAGGTTATAGAGAAGTTCAAGACCCTTCATTCAAGGCTTTGTCGGCTGCTTCTTCACGGTCCCCTTTTTCTCCCTGCTGCTCGGAACTGTGAGCAACACAAGGAGACCTTTACAACGCTTCTCCCTCTGGGGATGAAGAAAATACTTTATGTTACTTTTATTCGGAGCAATTTGCCTCTTGAGAGTTCGTCGTACTGTGGACAGCCGTTGCACTTTTGGCCAAAGCCCACCAGGTGTCGGCGGACCACACACTGCGACGCAGTTTCTTCAGTAGTCCCTCAAGGTCATTTTTATATTTCTAAAAACTGCAAGGTCGAAAACCTACACTCTGCCGTGACGCATCTTTACCTTGCGACCAGGCCTGCGCGCTGGTGGGACTCTCGGTTTCGATCTCCAGGGGCTTTAAGATTTGGGGAAGGAGCACTAACGAGGCCAGCTGTAATGTGAGAGCTGGATATCTGGGAAGAGCGAGTTAAGGGGAAGGCTGCGGATAACAGTGCAAAGAGGCCAGCCTGCGCAACAGTTGCAGGCGATAGGGACACTTGCCTAGCCTTCGTCTCCCGAATGAGCAACAGGGATTTTCCCGTCGGAATTTCACTGCACATAATCTGCCGGGATTTTTTGGGGACAACACCGTTTCCGGTGATACCAGGCTTTGACTTCAAATGTTTAGGCGTCCGTGGAGCATCGCTGCGAGCCGCTTGCTTTGTCACTTCGAATCTTCACGACGTGGTGTGAAGCGGTGACTTAGGGGCATCTGTTAGCTTGCTTATCAGCTGTAACAAGCTCAACTCTGCTTGAGGAGGACGCCTGCTTGAAGAACAAAAACCTGTCAGAATAACGTGAGTGTGATTGTTTTTTATACTAGTGAGCTCGTCCGCCGAAACTGGGTGCTTTTTTGTATTACTCGTTCTGAGTACTAGTCTGTTGATATTAAATTCGTTTTGACAGCACTGACTCTTGCGAGTTTCGTTGGAAAGGGAGCAAAGTCCTGTCTCCTCGTTCAAATGTCATCCGGATGGTATCCAGCTGTCTTCGAGCTTAGCAGCCAAACAACAGCGGAGAAGAAGCTCTATAAAAAGCGCTGGCAGCCCGCCAATGCATTTCTGGGTCGAAAATTTATCGCCCTTTTCTCCGTATTGGCAATTGTGGCTACCATTAACTGCTTCCGCACTTTTAGAGGCCGGACTCATCGAGGGAATGCCCCGCGACAATTAATGGGAGGGCTGCATGGTGGAGATGATGATCCCGAGCTGGCCGAAATACTTGACTTCTGCTTGGAGATGGAGGGAAACGAAGAAGCCACATACTCATTACCAGGACGCCTGAATCATCCAGATTTGGCAGCTAATCAACCATTTCAGTCGGGGCCTCAGCAGGACCAGCATCTCCAGGTGAGCCAGGCAAGCGCGCCTTTTTCTGTAATGCAGCAACTTTCGACTCCAACGTATTCATTTTCGGCTGAGACTGATTCGGATCCTTGGAATGAAGGAGAACACAGCCTTCTAGAGAGTTTAGTTGCTGCCGGGGAGCCGCCGGATGACTCTCCAGCGAGATGGCCGCCTCCATACTCGTTGACTGATCCCACGCACTCTGACCTTGCTGGGGGCTCGTATTTCTCGGGCACAGTTCAAAATAACGTACCTGTGGCATATAGTACTACGAGCACGCCATCACCTTATCAGGGTTTTCAGGAACTGAGCCCTTGCGCAGAGCCCTATGCGCATTTGCACCCCTGCGCAGTCCAAGCTTCCGCAATGTTGGGGTCAGAACGATGGAGAGATCCTTCGTATCAGCATCAAACGTTCGACGAATTCCAAACTAGCTCGGGTCACGTATATGGCGCTGCTCCCGTGGGGACCCAGCCACGCAGGTGGTTCGGGGAGCTTGACAATAACCGTTCTGACCCTCCAGTCAGTCGAAAGAGGACGAATGACCAGGTTACACAGGAGATCGGGGGAGCACAAGACCCTGGGTATGGAAGGCCCAATTTGAAACGGATGCGTTTCTCTGCAATACGAGCTCTGTTGGGTAAAACATCAGGAGTCGATAACAAGCAAACCTCTTCTGACGCTCTTGAGAGAGCAGTTCAATCAGTACCATTGGTTTGGGCTCCCCCCGAGATAGACTTGGCTACTATTGAAACGGAGTCAAGCCACGACGAGGCGAGCGCTCCACTTTCGTTCCCTTCATTGAGCGCATACGAGGGATTGAGCAGCTCAGCGTCGACCCATGTAGGAGGAATTCAGTTGTATGACTCATCAGCTGGCGATTATTCCTTACGGCCAGGCCTGGTGCATAGTGATTGCTCTTCAAGGAAAGAGCCACATGCAGTGCCAGCCCGACAACCAACGCCTGCTTTTGGCACGCCGGTTGCTGAGCCTCTTCGAAGTCCATCATTGTTAACCACAACTCAATCCACAAACGATTCTCAAGACAGGGCACCTTCTGTGGAGAGAGTTTCACCAGAACCCGACTCGGATCCTGAACAAGAGCTCGTCGATCATATCTTTTACAGATTGCCGACATTGGGCAAGCATGTGACGCCAAGAAAATTTTCCCTGACTAGGGCTCAAGGATATAAACATGTCAAAACGTGTTTCAGCACTTTAGCTTACATGCGCGCATTCCTTGAAAAGCCACGTCTGGATGCGTGGGAGGCTGACACCGTAGTCACCATGTCTGAACGACTTGTGGGCCACTTGATTTACTACCAGAACACACCTCTGTCAACGTTGACTCCCTCAGAGGCAATCGCAGTTTTGGGGCGTCGGTTTCTGATATTAGATGCGCTCCTATGTGCAATAGAGGCTTTGGGGCCTGCAATGGAGGCAGATCAGTGGTGGCCACAAGTCATTCCTGCGGTTCCAGCATTTTGGGAATGCAAAAGACGTCACTTTTGCGTGCCGCGCACAAAAGCTTACGTGCTTCTTGCACACCGACTGAGCGCTGCGGTCGAAATTTTAAAAGAAGGCAACCGGCTTGGGGCAAGGGAAACTGTTGAGCTCAAGCGAGACGACAAAACGTTCCTTAGTAGGTAGGGCCTAAAGTTTTTCGGGGTGACCCTAGGGACCGCTTGAAAACTTCTACAAACTTCGACGCGTATTCCGTTGTCTTGATACTGGAAGCAGCCACATCACCATGAATGGAGCGGGCAGTGCTGCCCTATTCCGCGTGTGCGACTGCAGAGCCCTTGTGAGCGAACAACATCGTGGCGAATACGAATTGCTTATCCCTTCGCTGCTTGTGAAGGCCTGAGACTTCGTCTGCAAGCGGGTGCGTCCCGTCTGCGGACCGTGAGCCTTTATCTGCTGCACCTAGAAGTATATCTAAGGGCAGAAAAATAAGGCCGCTTAAGGGACGACCATGGCAAAGGCCGCATTTGTGTACCTTTTCCCAACAGCCGCGTACTGTGCTATGTTACAGTTGCATGGGCCGTTTCTACAAGGGCCCATGAGAGAGTTCTCTTGATGACAGGAATTATTTGATGCAATTGTTCAGTGACAGTGCACTCTGGGTAGATCTGTATCTTTGTGGTGCAATATTGTCATTCTGGCGTTATTGGCTTCCCGCTGCAATGCTCAGACGGATAATGGAGCCGATAATGGAGTCGTCTCAGCCCATCGCTTAATACACATATGGCATCAATTTACGGAGCCGCAGCTAATTAGGTTGCTGCCTGCACTGCAGCATATGTTTATACTGTGACTGGGATCTGTAGGCGAAGTTTCGGCCAGATGAGACAGTGTTCCCTAGTGAGTGCATTTCCTCAGATGAAGTGACTAATGTTTCATTATTTGTTGTTCTAATACTTCAAAATACTGCTTTATGATTTTTGTACACAAGAACTGAGAAGAATATCTAAAATTGTGTTGCGGTGGAGCCTCCCACGCGATCTTTGTAGCAGATATCGTGGGAGTCAGAGCCGTGCTGCATTTTTAATGCGCTTCTTCAGAGCTGATCTGGTCACGCCAGCAAAGTACAAGCTTCTGAGCGAGGAGATGCAAGTGCTTGTAGCTTGATCGTGGGTGCTGTGTCGCAAGTGCACCGTTCCTGGTACTTTCTGAAGTTGTCTAGTAGAGTCGAAGAGGAACCAACGCTTCAGACTATGCTTGAATCATTAGGTCATGTAGCCGCCGCTGGGAAACCTTCATTTTAGAAGGCAGCACAGTCACCCAGAATTAAGTGCGCCGGAACGGTACGCAGCGTGACTGCGAGTCCGTAGAACATAACATGGGCCCCGTCGCTTGTGTTTGCGCTTCGGTTCTTGCGTGCCAGCGAGTTGACGTACTTGCGCCTCTTGTGAAATCTTCCCACCATGCACCTTGTATTACTGGCACTAGCATCTACAGTAAATGCTCTCGAGAGTCCTGAGGCTCCCAGGACATTGAATTCATGCCGTTGCCGGACACGAGCATGCAGGCCGTTCATGCACTGCGTTGGAGCTGCGAATTAAGACCTATGGCAATTGTGCGCTCATACCCCGGTAGCCAATCTTCACATATTGATCTGGTGCTCAAGTCCATCAGGCATGCAGTGCACGAAGCGGGGCCACTACCCTCGTATTACCCAGCAAAGAGACTTGCGTATTAAGAGCTATTGCTCATACGGCTATTCTGTATGAGCAACAGCACTTGTCGGCCCGAAGTGCAACTCCTGTCTCCCGTCTTTGGCAAAATTCAAGCCACTGCAGGACTACACATATGTTGATGCATACCAACCGATCGTGTGAGCTGTAGTTTGAACAGTGGGTCTACAGGCAGAAGCTCCTAGCACAGAATGATCATCCACATGGAAGGGGTGGGATATGCAACGACATCGCTAGGGACACGTAATGAACAACGGCCAATGGAGTCTAAAACGCAGCTTTTGCTTCAAAAACACAAACAGCCGCCAAACAGAGGTCTTAAGCGCCTTATCCGCAAATCGCTGTGCGCTTATAGTGCTCACTTCACAGCGAGCACAAAAAAAAGCTCCCGCGGGCCTCGTAGGCAAAAAAGCATGCTGCCACAAATGGGAAACGCCATTTATGCGGCTCCTTAAAAATGCTCGAAGCCAGCAACGCTACGCGCGACTTGCCTGCCTTGGTAAGTTCAATCGGAACGAAACAATGTCGGGAACCTAAATTTCACACAATGCATTTTTTTAGCTGCTTCCAGCTGCTAAGGCAAACACAGCTGGGAAGCGTACGCCATATTTACGAGTAAATCAGATCATGCCTACCTGCATGAGCTCCGGAGTCGCGCAAGAGCAAGCGCCCAACTGTAGTGCTTTCGCCGTTCACTGAAATACAAATGTTGCTCAGTGGCCGAGAACCTCCGCTAGACTGCCAAAGAACTCTCTGTCATCCATGCGCCATATGTCCCACTGGGGCTTCCTGAACGTCCGAAGGGTCATTTCGCTGCAAAAAAGCTCGCGCTTTAATTCAACAGTGTCCTTTGGTCCGGGTCGAACGCCTCTCTTCAGCGATTCCACCGCTGCTCTCAGTCGTAGTGAAAGGCCTGCGTAATACCTGCTGCATCTGAGCTGCAAACGTAGGTTTTCAACAGCCACGTCTGTTGGGATTTCTTTTACGAGCCTATGCCACCACTGAGACGCACGCATTGCCGGGCCCATAAGATGAACCACACAGACAAGCATATCCAGCATAAGGTACCGAAGCCCCAAAGTTAGTAAAATTTTGGAAGCGGTTAGGCTGGTAAGAGATCTTCGGTGAAGGTAGTACAAGTGACACACAATCCGCTCACTCATGAGAATAAGTTCGTTTGCATCACCTTGATTGAGCTCCTTTTTGATTAAAAGTGAGCGCATGAACGCCAAAAGCACAGAAATTTGCGGAAGCAGGGTGGATCGTTTAAATGCATTTTCCACAGAGAAGACCATTAGTCTAATACCTGGCTTCAATTTTGGCAGCCTATAAAATAAATGTTCACTGATGGGCTTCCTAAAATAGAGAGGTGCTGGCAAAATGACCTTATCATCAGCCGGCTTGCCGACCTCAACGCCCACAGTTTGCCTCACAGGTGGCGAATAGCGAATTAACAACTGCGCCGCAGTATTTGCGGCTGAGATGGGCTGTTGTTGTGAAAAAATGGCTGCTGGAACTTCTGAGGGATAACAAGGCGCAGCAGCACTGGTTGGAAGTTTTGTCAACTCTGCATATTGCTCCTTTTGGGGGGCTGGAGGTCGGTGTGGGGTCCTGACGCCGAAGTCCTGAGGTTGACTCTTGTGTGACATATCCGCACAATGAAATGGCATGTGCGCATGGCCTGAGCCAGGCTGATTTCTTGGAAACATATAGGGTTGCCTTGTTGCCAACATTCCCTCGGCGATTCCTGAGTTCGAGGAAACATCAGGCTGCGTCAAAGTGGGATGCAAACCTGGAAAGGTCCCTGAGGAAGAATCAGGTGTAGGATGGCCCTGAAGTGATAAGGCGGTACTGGGCAAGCGCGTTGCAGAGGGTGTACACCCATTTTCCCCCATAGGATATAAAGACGCTCCATAGCTCTGTAGTGAGGACGAATACGAAGGCAATGCTTCATCAGAAAGAGTATCTTTTTTCTCCCGAGAGGTAGAAACCCATTCCTTGAAATGCTGCTCTGTTGCTCCAGAAGGCCACTCCGGGCGACGAGAAAGGCCAGGAGACGGAGAGGAAGGAACCTCCACCCAAAACGAAAAGGTATTCGTCTGGCTTCTTTGCTCGTGTTGCTCGTGCTGGGAACTTAGCTGGGAACTTAGATTAAGCTGTCCACCATATAGGAACTTTTCTTGTGGTTGGACTGCTGGAAGTGGCTGCACGTGACCTCTCTCCTGCTCCATGTCCAGGCACATATCTAGAATTGCCGACAGCTCGGCGTCGTCTTCTCCATTAGGCAGCTTACCCCCTAGTTGTCTCTGTGTGCTTCCCAGTTTTGTCGGCCTGTAGAAAATGCGGAAGCAGGCCAGTGTGATTGCCACAACTGCCAGAAGGGAGAAGATAACGGGCCATTTACTCTGCGTACGTGGATGAAATGTAGAGCTTCTGATTTTAGATGCTTGAGAAGCCGATTCCTCGCTCGTTATATGCTGGAAAGGATTCGATAAGCCGTATAAAGAGTGTCTACTAGAAGGAGGGGGAATGACCGGTGGATCTAGCGCCCGAGCCATGTTCCCTCAGCCAACACTACGTTATGCTCACTTCGCTGTTTCCATATTTTTGGGAAATGAACGTTGAGGAGAAAATGATGCAATGTGAAATCACTGCAACCAGTCGGCATGTTCGCCACTGCCGGTGCAGTCGAGTGTAGAGTTGCTCGGAATTGACAAGCCCGTCTACAAGCAACGTGTCCGTGGTGCTCAGCATTTTCAGAACTATAAAGGCTGAGTTAGCTCAAATCTTATGCCAGAGAGATCAATAAACAAGCCACATTATGCCTGTAAGATGAGCGACAAAAAGTGCCTTCAGCAGGGCCATCAGCTTGCATGAGACTCGTTTCAAATGCAAGCTTGGTATTCTCATAGTATCGCGCCATATCCTATTTGTCACTTTTGGTGAGTGATGCTGAACTCCTTTTGTAGGCATACCACAGCGGGTCCAAATTTTCTTCCGAGCCGTTAGTAGCAGCCTGAGTGGCTCTTCACTGCCTTTCCCGGCTAACAGACCTCCAACGTCTGTCTTGTTTGATATTTCAAATTTTTGCCTGCTTTTAACTGAATTGGCAAATGCAGGAATAGTGTTCCTTCGGGCTGCAGCTTGTTGGCCTTCGTGGACGACATAACGCCATCTCTCCTAACGAGCTGGAGAGATGCTCTTAGTGAACAAATGGGGAAATTACGTGTTTGAAATCATATCTAAATAGTACCCCAAACCATCATTTTAAGTGTGGACAAATTAAGTTTATTGTACCACGGTCGCCTGATAAACTTTGTCTACGCACCCAGATCGTGAACCTAGTAACAGCCCATCAACCTACTGCGTGCGTTCTCGCAAGATCCCCTATCCACGATTGGCCACCTGCTTGTGTTACTTTGCTGCAGTTGAGCACGGTCGTCCTGAGCTGAC